TTATGTAGCATGGCTATGGATTTGGTTCATGTTCATCATAAAACATGTCTTGCAAAACAAGTTTGAAACCCTAACTTTTTGCCTTCGATTCTCTTAGCTCAAGTATGATCTCAATGAGTTCTTAGATATTTTGGAAAGCTTGTAGCATCCCCTACAACCTTCATGTTGGACATTTTTGAAGATTCAATTTGGAACTAGGTGAAAAGTTGCCATGAAGTTAGGTCAAAATCCTGACTAAGTAGGGCAAAATTTCACTAAGTCTTTTTAGTTTCATGGACATGTCTTCATAAATTCATAACTTGAAATCCAAGCATTTCTAGAAAAAGTTCTGTCCTACAATGTTTTAGATCTCATTAAGATCTACAACTTTCATGTTGGAAGTTTCCCTTGAATCATCTTGCATCATGGTGGAAATTTGGCACAAAGTTATGAAAAAAAGTTAATTTTCTAACACTTAGAAAAATTTCTAAGTCTTAGAATTTTGACTTTTCAAAGATAACTTTGACTTTTTGATTTTTTGAAGAACAAGTTTCATATTTTGACATGTCTTGATGAAATATGATTTTTGATACTTGATTTTGATCAAAAAGTCAAAGTTTAACTTTTCAGTGTACAATTGACTTTTTATCAGTTGACTGAAATTCATCTGTCAATCCAATGATCTTGAGAGGTGATTTGAACCATGCAATTAGGTCAAGATGGTGCATTTGAATCCCTGAGGCCATGTCTTAAACCACTAAGTCATTTTCTTGGTCAAAAGTCAAGAACTGAGCCTTATCAATAAAAACCCTAATTTTGACCATTTTGCCCTTTTGGTGCTCTGATCAAATTTCTTTGAGGAATTGTGATCCAACTTGATCAATTGACATATATGAGTTCATAATATTGATATGGATCCAAAATCTTGAAGTTTGACTGTAGGTTGACCACAATTGACTTTTTATCTAATACAGTTGATTTTAGGTCATCTGATCAAATGACTGAGCAATTTTGTGATTCAAGACTTGAAACTTGTCATGAGCAATCTTGGGAGTCCAAAATGATCCATGAAAGTCATATAAGGCGTTAGAAGTCCAATCATCTCTGTACAAACTCAAACCCTAATTTTGAGTTGTCAGTGTTGAGGAGGTGTCTTGAGCTAATCAAACTTTGTGTAGTCTTGAATCAATGGAGATCTTATGAGAGATTTCTTGAGAAATGAGAGATAAAATTTTAGGGTACAACAAAGCCGCTATTGAATACTCTGGTTCAAACATTACAAAGTATCCCTTACAGTGTAAAGGAATAAAATATTATGTACCTTTAGGGGGAAAGAGTTGCCGAAAGGCTCTTCCATCCATAAATGGTATCTTCAACAGAGATGCAATCTTTTTAAAAAAACAAACATAAAAAACCAGTATCAACAAATTGCAGCATAAAAGTATCATATTTACAATGTATCATAACTTACAACATCATAAGCCTTTTCCCTTTCCATATGTTGTGCAGTTGTAACCTGACTATTAAGCATCTAAACACATAAAACAATAACAAACAACAATTAAAGTAAAACACTTACACCTACGAAGAAAGTAAAAATAATATAATCAAATAATTTTAAAAATCCGATCTTGAACATTCCTCTTAGGGACCTGTTTGGTATAAACGAGCAATACAAAATATTATAAGGAGTATCATGTGAGGCCAATTCAATTCTAATATTTGCAGAACATGATTAAACAACAATGAAGTTACATAAAATAAATTAAATTTTTTTTTTATTTTTAATATATAAAAGAGAGTAACACGAGTCTTCGTTATGACACACATCAATAACATAACGAAGAAACTTGTAAGCATCCTCTTGACGACCGCAATGGAAGTGTTGGCGAATAGAGGTACACAACTTTGGATCTTTGAAGGAGCGTCAAATGTGAGATCCACACGGAGTAACCGAGAGATTTGTTTCTCGATTATGCATAATAGAAATAAAGAACTAGAAGAATCACCTGAAAAAGATGAAAATTAGGTTAGGTCATAGAAATTGCAGAAATTACAGAAAATGAATGAAATTGAAGAGTTATTACAGAGAGATGAATGTTGAAAACATAGAGAGAAATTGGCGAGAGGAGAGGAGTGAAAGTGAGGCACTAAAAAACGCCTATAATCCATGATTTTGATTTTAGGGTTTTTATGGGGAAAGGCAATGCTGAGACAGACATTAACACAAAAATTCTAGATTTAGGACATCAATAAAAAGAAGAGAATACGGAAGAGAGAGAGAGAGAGAGAGAGAGAGAGAGAGAGAGAGAGAGAGAGAGAGAGAGAGAGAGAGAGAGAGAGAGAGAGAGAGAGAGAGAGAGAGAGAGAGAGAGAGAGAGAGAGAGGAGAGAGAGAGATGAGAGAGAGAGAGAGAGAGAGATGAAGAGGAAAGAAGGAAGACGAAGAAGAAAAATCGATTCATAGAAAAAGAAAGATAGAAAGGATGAGACTAGGGTTAACATTATATTTGAATTATGAAAAATATTTTTATTGGAAACAAATAAAATATTTAATAGTTGTACAATATAAAATAAAAAATTAAACCGTAAAAAAAAATTAATTCTTTATTATTAATTAAACTTTCTACCAAAAAAATTTGATTTTTTATTATTGATTTGTAAATTTAAAAAACAATAAAAAATGAAATAATATTATAAACATTATTAATTATAAAAATATTTCTTTAAATAATATAGAGTCTAAAAATTTGACAAATCACAAACTTACTATAATTTTTTTTTTACTTTATTATATTTTATGACTATATGCATGAATGCTATATCTTCTTAAACAGATAAACACATATTTAATACTATAAAATCTAATTAATTTTATGCAATTAAGAAAATTCATCAAGCCTCTACAAAAATTATTCATGAAACAATATTTGTTTTTTATAAAAAATCTAAGATGTTTAGGAATTTATTAAAAAATAAAAAATAAACAAAAAAATGACGTTAGCTGACAAAATTAAATGATAAATGATTAAATTTTGCGAAAACATTTTTATTAGGAAATTTAATTAAAAATTGATTCAAAAATCATTTCTCAAAAAAATTCAATAATTCAAAAGACATTCATTAAGAAATTAACATATTTGAAAAATCATAAAAACAAATATTTATTATTGTACTCTAATTAACTGAACACATGAACGGTTTTTTTAGTCCCACCGACCTTGATTTGATTTAATTTATGATGGAATTCTTTCACACATTAGGATAATTATTGAAACTTTTTATCATTAAAAAAAGATGCATAATTATTGACAATTTTATCATCTATATTGTCTTTATCCAAAAACATCCTTATCTTACACACATGTCCACCTTTTTTTAATTAATAAATTACTAAAAAAATCAGAATACCTTCTATAATAAATAAAATAAAATTTGATCTTAAAACACAAAATTACATACACCTTTATTTCTGCAGTAAATATTAGGAATAAAAATATTAAAATTGTTTTTTCTTTTCAAAAAGATATTATTGTTTGGATTATTTTATTACAAGTTTACAATCCACAGACACTATCTCTGCGCTGCGCCTATATATTCTCTTTCATTTCTGTTTTATTTTTTAATTTTTTTTTTAATGTGATGAATTTCAAAGCCAACTAACACCTCTTTTTCTTTTTCTTTATCTTTCTCCGTCACAAGACTAAAAAAAACCTCTTTCTTCTCTGTCTGATTTTCTCTTCGAACCAAACCAGAGAGCGACCGGCGAGCATAACCTCGCCGGAGATTCGCCTCTTTTCTCACCGGAACGATTCACTCCGTTGAAATTTACCAATTCTGATTATTTTTGCACCATCTCTTCAGAAATGAACCTGAAAAATCTTGAATAATTCAGATTTTCGAGAAAAGATATCTATTATAGCAATGTGGACGGAATGAGGTTTTTGTTGGAGTCAACATCCTGAGATCTCTTAGTTTACGAGATTCGGTTTTGCTTTGTCTTTTTTTTTTTGTTGTTGTTGTAATAATCTCGAGTTTCTGGATGATGATTTTGCTGAATTTTGCGGTGGAACGAAGATAAGAGAGTTTTTTTTTTGGATTTTCTGCTGGCTTTGGTTTGGTTCAAATTGACCTGGTGCGAATTTATTTATTAGCTTCGAAATATTTAAGGTTTTTCCTTCTTTTTCTCGGTGGTTTATGTTTCAAATTATTTTCTCCTTGATGCTACTTTTTATGGGTTTATGATCAGATAAGAATCTCTCGATGTTCATGGTTTTGATCCGTTAATTTTCAGATTAGACTCTTTATAGAATTTTTGATTTTTTTTTTTGTGCTTGATCTGTTGATATTCACGGCTTTTGTTGTGAAATTCCCTCTTCTTTTGCTTGATTTCGTGATAGAATCTACGCGGAGCAATTGTTAGCTTATTCTAGACTTCTTTTTTAAAGAAAATTTTTTGGAGAAGGTTTTGTGACTTTTGAATGGAAATTTTGATAATTTATAAGGATGGGTTTGTTTTGATTTTCTACATTTATTTATTTTGGTGATCAAATAGTTGAATCTATTAGATCGTTGGTAGGTGAACAAGGAGCTTTTTTTCTTTTTTCTTAGTATCAACCTGTGATGTCCTTTCATTTTGGTAGTGTTTAGTTGAAGATGTAACTATATTTGTCCTACCTTTTACACCAATCTCTTTTAATGGTGCAACTGAATCTAGGAAGAGAGGTGCTTGTAGGGTTTCTTTAGTACTTTTTTCTCCTTTCCTAATTGTTTTGGGGTATGGGTTGATGTTAGTAGAGGTCTAATATAGATGGTATTTTTAGGGTGAGAAATGATCTCATGTTTTGTTTATGCCAATGCCCACTTTTTCATGTATTGCCATATTTATATTTGTTGTTTTTGTTCTCAAGCAAATGATCTTGAATATTCAACAGATGACGATGAGTAGAGCCCAACAAAGCTAGCAAGCAAGGAGCTTTTCTGTAATCTTTCTCTTTCTATAATTTTTGGATAAGCTATAGGATGCCTTTTGAAATAATGAATCAGAGAGGTGTTACTGCTTCATCTCACCTTTATGATGATGTTTCCTATGCTTCTGAGGTGATTATTATCTTAACTGTCTCATTTTGGTTTTATCACACTTATTTTACGGTCTTAGACAGTGTTCTTCTACAGAAATGTCAACTGTGTTCTCAATGCTTTTGCCTTTCTCTAAACACGTCTTGAACTTTTCATGTGCAGAAGAATATTGGATTACGGAAGCCAAAATCCATTCATGATGATTATGCACAAGGTGAGGTCAATTGGCTTATGATTTATTCAAAAAGTCCTTAATGTCATGCTGCTGGTTAATGGTGTACCTGGTTTCCAATTGTATACCAAATATATCAACTAATGAACTAACAAATAGTTAAGATTCAGACCTTGACCAGTGTTTTGCATTTCAGTTTTGAACACGGCAAGTCGCTATCAGTTTGATTTTGGATGTGTTGATTTATTGGACTCTGATTTCCATATTTTTCTGTATGCCTTATCTGCCACCTCTCTATTCTTAACTGAAACACAGTTTACTTTCCATTTTTGGAATTTTGAATGCATTATCATCTCACTTTCTTTGTCCAAAATCGTATAATTGTTTTATTGCACTTAGAATAAGTAATTGTGGATGTAGCTAACTAGCATCATTTATTTCATTTTGGGGGGAGTGATGTTCTATGCTCAAATTTTGCATAAAGTAAGTTTTATGCTCAAATTTTCAGGGAAGAGTGAAATTGCAGCTTCACCTGGAAGCATTTTGCATACTTCATCAACCCTTGAAAGAAACGCAAAAACAGGCTTGCCAATGTCACAGACTAGTCTATCTGGAGAAATTTCAGAAAACCTACACTTTGGTGGACAAGCTGGCATTGTAGATGCGCTGAAGGATTCAAAAGAATCGCTGAATTATCATCCGAGATCATGGTCTGATGTACATAAGCAGCCAGCATCTAGCTCGTATGGTTTAATTGGCAACAAGATTGTCACCAATGCAGGTTCACGTGAAAGCAGTCTATTCTCAAGCTCACTCTCCGATATGTTTAGCCAAAAGTGTAAGAATGTGTTTCATGCATGCTAAGATAGTTGAACATATGTATCATGGGTATTATTCCTTTTAATTTTCTTAAGATGCAAGTATTTGTGGTGTTAATTTGCTTTTGTATCATGATTAGCATAGCAGTATATATGTTTTACACATCAGAACTCCACCAGAAAGAAGAAACAGAGAAAAGTTTTCTATTCAGTTGTGTTTTTAGTTGATTTCAATTTTATCCTCAGATATCATTGAGACTGAGTATTTATATGCATATATTGGTGCAGTGAGGTTGTTGGGAAATGGTGTTCTGTCTGATCAGAACAAAACTGCTGGTCTTCTTCCTGAGGAAGAACCATACAAATCTCTTGAAGAAGTCGAGGCTGACACCATAGGGGATCTCCTTCCTGATGAAGATGATCTGTTTTCCGGTGTCAATGATGAATTAGGAAGCAGTGTTCATGCCAGAGCAAATGATGATTTTGAAGATTTGTTCAGCAGTGGTGGAGGCATGGAGTTGGAAGGAGATGAACTCCTAGTTTCAGGAAAAAGAATCAGTGGCTTGGATGGAGATCCTGCTTACTTTGGGGGTTCTAAAGGCAAAAGTCCTTTTGGTGAACAATCTTCTAGAACACTTTTTGTTAGAAACATTACTAGCAATGTAGAAGACTCAGAGCTAAAGGCTCTCTTTGAGGTGAACCTTTACTTTCTATTCTTTTACTACGCTAGATGCTATGTTAGAATTTAAATGAAGTCCTGTTACCGGATGTAGTGACCTATAAGTGAGCTATTTTGTTTGTCTTTGCAGCAATATGGAGATATCCGAACCATTTATACTGCCTCCAAGCATCGTGGCTTTGTTATGGTTTCTTATTATGACCTAAGGGCAGCACAAAATGCAATGAAAGCACTTCAAAATAATAGGTCATTGAATTCCAGGAAACTGGATATACATTATTCAATTCCAAAGGTATCATTTTATTTGGTTATTTTTCATATATGCATAATTTTTATTTCCATTATTATCATTTACAAGATTTTTGCTGTTTGTTGCCTTAGCATCTTTCAGTATTGTGCTTTGCTTGTTCAATTGCTCTGTATTCCTAATTTTTATGTTATGGTTGTTGATATATCTCAACTTGATGATGTGTTAGGGAAATGCTTCAGAGAAGGATATTTGCCATGGCACACTGATGATATCTGGTCTTGATCCATCTGTTTTAAAAGATGAACTAAAACATATTTTTGGATTTTATGGAGAAATCAAAGAAGTAAGTTATATATTGTTGGTTTTCATCCATTTTTGGTGCTTGTATCTACAAATGATACCAGCTTCTTAAATGTTATGTCTTCTATTGCAGATCTATGAATACTCAGAAATGAATCATATCAAATATATTGAATTTTATGATGTTCGAGGCGCAGAAGCTTCTCTCCGTTCATTGAATGGGATCTGCATTGCTGGGAAGCATATCAAGCTTGAACCTGGCCATCCTAAGATTGCAACATGGTGGCTATTACAACTTTTTATTTATTTTGAATTACTTTCTTTTTTTAAGTAACTTTTGGAGCCCTTCTTATCTTTTTTGCCTAACTTAGCTATATGTTTTTAGATGAAGTCTTTATTTAGAGTCTGCATATTTATTCTTGTTAGATAGTATTCTCTCTTTCTAGTGGTTAATGGAGTAGAGTTGTCATCAATAACCTTGATGGAAAAAATATTACCTTTTTGTTCTATTTAACTGTTATTGATCATAACAATCATGGAAACCCTGCTTTTGTAGTATGATGCAGCCGTCTCAAAAGGGACCAGATGAACCTGATCTTGGTCATAATCTCAATGACATCCTATTCTTAAGACAAAAGGGTGCGATTTTGTCTTCTTTTAATTTTTTTTCCGGAAGTTAAGATGCACATGGTCTCATTAGACATAATTTACAGGACTGTCTTCTGGAGTTATTCCATCTGGTGGAGGCTTGGAAAATGGATATAATCAAAGATTCCATTCTCCATCACAGCTGCCTTTGAATGCTTTCCTTGACGACACAATTTTTCACAGTATTTCCAACACCACAAGAGGGCCATCTGCTGTTCCAAGATTCCACCCTCATTCTTTGCCTGAGTATTTTGATGGCCTGGCTAATGGTAGTCCTTACAATTTGTCAAACACCATTAAAATGGCTGCCAATATTGGAACTGGATCCACAGAAGCATCTGATGGCAGGCACATTCAGGGAATGAGCTCAACTGGGAACTCAGCAGATTTTAATGCAGGAGGTAAGTTTAATAGCTATGGATAATCATACTTTGTTTGCAACAGTTTCAGAATTGCTCCTAGTCTATTGAAAATAAATTATGGCACGAAGGGATGAGTTTATTCAAACGGTTATACTTATTGTTTTACTTTAAATGGCATCCTAGGAAATGGGAGCCTTCCCCATCACCAGCTTTATCATATGTGGAATGGCTCAAACTTGCGTCAGCAATCTCCATCAAATGCAGTGGTTTGGCAGAAGACACCATCTTTTGTTAATGGTGCTTGTGCTCCAGGTCTTCCACAGATGCCCAGTTTTGCCAGGTCACCGGCTCATGTTCTGAGAGCATCACATATAGACCACCATGTTGGATCAGCACCAGTTGTTACAGGATCACCCTGGGAAAGACAACATTCTTACTTGGGAGAGTCTCCCGATACTCCTGGTTTTAGATTGGGTTCTCTAGGAAATGGAGGTTTTCATGGTAGCTGGCAGTTGCATCCTCCAGATCTTTCTAGCAACATGTTTTCTCATGTTCGTGGGAATGTTAACGATTTGACATCCAGTGTTGGGCAGGGTTCTCCTAAGCAGTTGTCGCATGTCTTCCCTGGGAGAATTCCCATGACTTCAATGTCAAAATTTGATTCCACCAATGAACGAATGAGAAACCTCTATCATCGCAGAAGTGAAGCAAACAATAACAATGCTGATAAAAAACAATTTGAACTTGACCTAAGCCGCATATTGCGCGGGGAAGACAACCGAACAACGCTTATGATAAAAAATATTCCCAACAAGTATTTCTTCTTTTCTAGTACATTTTTTTTCTGCTTGCACTGTTGTCATTTTCATCTTTGTTTTACAAATTGTTACGAGGATACAGCTTTACTTTTTACTTGCCTGTGCATATTTTCTTATTTATATTGATTAATTGGTCTTTTCGTTAAACAGATTTTACTAGGATTTTTACTTTTTTACTTGCCTGTGGACATTTTCTTATTTATAATGATTAATTGGTTTTTTTTCTTAAACAGATGTTACTAGGAGTATAGCGTGCAAATTCTTTGGCACTGATCAATTCATTTGTTCTTTCCTATTTGATATTTGTATTTATTCTTTCTTATTTGATATTTGTATAAATATCTCGGCAGGTATACTTCAAAGATGCTTCTTACAGCCATAGATGAGAGTTGTCGGGGAGCTTATGATTTTCTGTATTTGCCAATTGATTTCAAGGTAAGTATTTGTTTGGTGTTGGTACTCTTAATAAGTGAAGCAGTCGTAAATGTTTTCTAAGTCAGTTGTACAAATTATTGCAGAACAAGTGTAACGTTGGCTATGCATTCATCAATATGATTGATCCTGGTCAAATCGTTCCATTCCACCAGGTTACTTGAGAACTCTTGTATACCTATGAATTATAGTTTATTTCTTTGCCTATGCAATATGGATTTGAGTTCATCTTTTTCTTTTTGTTATGCATCTGTTGATAAAACTGATAGATAACGAATGTTATGCAGGCTTTTAATGGGAAAAAATGGGAGAAGTTTAACAGTGAAAAGGTAGCCGTGCTTGCATATGCTCGGATTCAAGGAAAATCTGCTCTTATTGCTCATTTCCAGAATTCAAGCTTGATGAATGAAGATAAACGTTGTCGTCCTATTCTATTCCATACAGATGGTCCAAATGCTGGTGATCCGGTAAATCAGCTTATTCTTTACCAGCAACTATTTTCCTGTTCTACTCTATTTGCTAGTACCAGCAACTATTTTCCTGTTCTACTCTATTTGCTAGTACCAGCGTTCTTCTGAGAGATATTACGCTTCATATTTCTGGATAATCGATATAAACATTAGATGCCTATTTTTTTTCCCTTGCAGGAGCCTTTTCCCTTGGGTGCCAATATTAGAGTAAGGCCCGGAAAATTACGTAATAGTATCAACGAGGAAAACCGTATTCAAGGGAATTCTTCATCTTTGGCAAGTGCTGAGGAGTTTGCTAGTGGAATAGATTCTTCACCGAGTTCTTCAAGAGACACTGACTGATTTAGCCTCAAGCACTAACAGTTCAATGCTGCATACCTTGTCAACTCCATCATTGTATATTTACATTTACTCTGTGTGTGTGAGAGAGAAGTGTTGGAGCAGCCGGTAGGAAAGAGGGGCTCGCAATTTTGGCCTTATAGAGGAGCCTTGAAAAAGATTTTAAAGGTTGAGGTACATAACCAGAATGAAGTCAAAGATTCTAGTATTTTATTTGTTTACCTAAATTTTTGCGTGGAACCATTCTACCATCTTACAAGTTTAGAGAGACTGGCTTAACTGAAGCTTAAAATTTTGGCTAGCTTTGAATGCACAATTTGCAGTTCTCTTGAGATATGGTGCACATCATTGTGTATTACAAGGGTGCTTTGCTCATTTTGTTTTCATTATTGTTATTTCTGATGTTCATATGTAATTTCGTTACCTTATATTCCCCCGGCATTGTCGTCTTTATAGGAATTTTGTCTATATACTGGGATTGTTGATGGAAGTTGTTTAATTGGAATTTTGATTTAGATCCGTATATTTCTATTTATGCGTATTTATTTGTGAATTCATTTGTTTCTAATTCATGTTTAGTGAAAATACATAATTCAAGTGCCGTAACCGGTTATCATGGGCGTGTAATCGGTTAAAGGTATGTGAAAAAGTCAAATAAGTAGAGAAAAAGTAATTTTGTCGTGGGTGTAATCGGGTATGTATTTGCAGTAATCAGGTACCGCTGTTAGTAATTTTTTTAGTTTTATAGTAGCTGTAACCGGTTATAGGTTTTATGTAACTGGTTGCTGGTACAAAATTTCTGTTTTTCCTATTATTTTTTTTTTGTTTGTATTTCAATTCACTTCTTATCGATTAAATACCCCTTGAAGGTATCATTATCAATGTAAAGTGTATTTAATATTTGACATCAAGAGTCTTGTTTGATCCACCAAATACTTAGTATGTAATAAGAATTTTGTCTTTTATGAAAGGATTTATGTAAATCTATCCATCATTGATGCGAAGAATTAGAACAAATGATACAAGCAAATGAAGGTGTTGTTTGACTACCAAGATGTTTTTGAAGTAATCAAGAACGCGAGAATCCTCTTGTCAAAGGTGCAATAGGATTCATGAAGAGTAAAGAGGATTTTCAAAATTTTGGTGGAAGAGAGTCCCAAAATTCTAAGAATCCGGCTTGTCAAAAGGGTGAGAGCTGTTGCAACAAAATGGTGGTCAATACAACTTTAGAGGTGAAAGGAAAAAGATAGACAAGAGCAAAATGCAGTACTTTATTTTTCAAATGTTCAATCATTTTGCAAGAGAGAGCAACACGAACAAGAAGGAACCTCAAGTGGATGAAGTCAAGGTTGCAAGACAAGAGTTTGATGAAGATAATACACTATTGATCATGATCACAAAAGAGGAATGCAACAATAACAGGCCGCATGACAAGAACTCTAGTTTTAGAAACATTGCAGAAGCATGTTGTAATTGGTTACAAGCAGAAGAAAACATAATTGTGATAGTGAGAGAAGCAGTTCAGTGCATCGATGAATGTTATTTGGACTTCAGATGTTATACGCATATAAAGGGGGAGGAATGATTGATTTGTTAAAATCAATCGTGTCGTGAAAAACAATGTGAAATTTGCGGGTAACACCACTCCAGTGGCGCAAGGGATCAACGATGTATTGATAGAGAGAAAGGATAGTAGATATTCTTTGATAAAAGATGTGTTGTATATTTTCGGAATCAAGTGCAACCTTCTAAGTATTGGATAATTTTTAGAGAAGGGTTACGAGTTTCGTATGGAGAATAAGGTGCCACACGTTATGGATGCAAACGAGGCCTTGATTCTTAAAGTCTCTATGATTGTCAATAGAACATTCAAGGTTGAATTGAGGGTTATGGAGCATAGGTGTCTTGCTACAACGACTAGTTCAAATGAGTGAAAATGGGACTATCGTCTTTGGTCTCAATTTTTGAGATCTCAATGTATTGAAATAAAAAACATAATGGTAACAAGACTGTCATTGATTAATATACCGGCTGAAATTTTTGAAGAGTGTGTGCAAGAGAAGCAACATAAAGATAAATCTAGTAAGGATACAGGTTGTAGAATCAAGCATCACCTTGAGGTGGGATAGTCCGATGTGTTGGGCCAATGTAAGTTGATTCGATTGGTGGAAATATATATTTTGTAACATTTATCGATGATTATAGTAGAAAACTATAGATGTACTTAATCAAGAGAAAATATGAGGTATTCAAAATATTTAAGAAGTTTAAGTCCATGGTTGAGAGATGCAAAGTGGTCGCAGACTCAGTTTTCAAAATGAATGATGGAGCCGAATACGTCTCAAATGATTTTGGGAGACTTTTTGATCAAGAAGGGATAATACACGAGGTAGTTTCACCTTATACACTGCAACAAAGCAGTGTTGCTGAAAGGAAGAATCGATAGATTATGAACATGGTGAGAAACATGTTAATGAGGAAGAACTTTTCCAAAGAGTTATGGGGAGAAGCGATATTAAGAGTTGCCTATTTGTTGATTATGTGTACTACAAAGAAGCTTGAGAAGATAATAGCAGAAGAGGCACAATCCTAATTTAAACAAATCTGAATAATTTGAGAGTTTTCGATTTTGTATCGTATCAACATGTTTTGGGACAACTTTGAAAAAAGCTGGATGACAAGGGATAATTAATGATACTTGTAGGGTATCACTGTACTGAGGGTTAAAACTTGTATGATGCATTAATTAGAAGGATTATAATCAGTCGAGATATCATTTTTGACGAGATAAAAGAGTTGTGGCATCCTGTAATCGGTTATCAGAAAGTCGTAATCCTTACAACATTAAAAACTTCAGTTTCTGCAGAGTTTGATAGTGCAGAATCAACCGACGTCAAAGCCCGAATTGAAGAGAATGTGATAAGATCAATAAGGCAAAGAGTTTGTCTTTAAAAATCAAAGATTGTGAGCTACTATGAGACAACGAAGTCAATGATGATGGTGATTTCGTCCATTTTTCACTTATGGTCGAATCCGAACACATTAAGACGGTCTAAAATGGATTTGTGCTATGAAGGAAGAGTTATTGAGAAGAACAAGATTTAGGAGTTAGTTGATCTACCGAAAGGAAAAAAGTTATTTGGTGTAAGATGAATCTATAAGGTGAATGCAAATTCCAAGGGTGAAATAATCAAGCATAAGGTTTGATTAGTTGCAAAGAGTTTTTTGCAAAGAGAATGCATAGATTTTGAAGAGGTATTTGTACTAGTTGCTAGAATTAAAATCATTAGACTAGTTATTGATATTGGGAATACCAACAATTGGTCCATCTATCAAATGGATGTTAAATCTGTATTTTTGAACGGACCATTTGAAGAGGAGTTTTATGTAGAGCTTCCCCATGGTTTTGTTGTGAGAAACCAAGAGTTAAAGTTCTACAATTTGAAGAAATTGTTGTAGGGTTTGAAACAAGCTTCAAGAAATTAAAACAAGAGAATATATGATTTCTTAAAGGAGATTGGCTTCAAGAAGTGTGTATCTGAACATGATGTATGCAAAGACAAATACAAGTGAATGTCTGATTATCCTTTGTCATGTAGACAATTTGTTGATAATGGTCAGTGATGAAAAGTGTATTTCTAAGTTTAAGAGTGATATTATGAAAGAGTTTAAGATGGCTGACCTTGGCCTCATGACATACTTCCCTGATATTGAGTTTCACAAGTCCAAGAAGGAACTGCTCGTGAATCAAAGAAGGTATACGCTTGAGATTCTGAAGAAGTTTGAAATGGAGAATTGTAGTGTTGCCATTACTTTGACTGAACCTAGGCTAGATTTGTTGAAGAATGAAGATGAGCATGAGGTGAATCTAACTCAGTATAAGAGGTTGATTGGATCCTTGTTGTTAAGTCTTTATGGTTGATATTATGTTTGGTAAAACTAGTATAACAACAATATGTTAAATATGATGTGATTACCTGTTAAGATGAACAAGTTAAGAAAGAAGTCTTATTGTATGTTGGAATATGTTGAGCTGGAGTATTTCAACATCTAGAGCAACATGCCAAATAAGATGTCCTATGAGGAAGCATACGACATCGCGTTTGAGCTAAACTGGATCTGTTTATTATGTTAAGTCATAAAAACAGAATATACCGTGAGAATATAATATTATCCTATATGGCGCTGAGTTGTAGGTAAATAAGAATCAAGAAGAATATTGAAGAATATTGACTTTTAAATATGGAGATAATTTAGGAAGATTTGATTAAAGACCTATTTTGTTAGCATAATTTTCTACTGTGTGTAACAACCAAAAGATATTATTTGAAGGCCTAAATTCAGTTGGGTATAAGTTATAAATAAAAGCTTTGTAACCTAGGATTGGTACCTGTCGTGTTTTGAAAATATGTAATCATTAAGGATGAGTCTGTAGCCACTCTCTAGGAGAGTTGGAGTAAGTGAACCACTCGAATTGTGAGATGGTCACTGTGTTCTCCTCGAAGCTGTGAAGTAAGAGTGAGTATTGTTCTTGGAGGAAGCTTGTAAGCAACTCCAATTTGTAGTCTTAGTCAAGAGTCTTGGCTAGTGATTATCATGGAAGTGTGTTTTCTTGTTTGTTCAGAATTGTTGTGTTGACCAAATTGCTGTCTGTGATTGAAGAGGGATTGAGAAGGGCCTCATATTTAGGTGAGTCTTATATAGAAGTCTAGAAAGAGTAGTGATTAAGTGATTAGGCTGTAAACAGGAGGTTTTCTGTAGGATCTATGAATTTATACTATTTTAATGGACTTATCCCTGGCTTGGTATGCCCTTAGAGTAGGAGAGTTGCTCCGAACTGGGTTAACAATTTCTGTGTGTTGTTTATGCTTTTCATTACTGTTTTCGTTGATACTTTGTCTGTTTGTTTATGTCGGATCAGATGTCCCAATATGTCATAGGACATCTGAGTTCTGTCATACCAGAATTTCAATTGGTATTAGAGCAGACATCCTGTCTGTTTC